GAATCAGTGTGGTGAACAGGGCCAGCCGGGGCTCCAGAGAGCCATTAATCGGTATAAAACCTGACAAAGGCCTCACGAAACCCTAAACCCTAAACCCTCAACGTTTCCGTTGTGACCGGGTGGCCTGCTCCGCTCCTCTTGCCACTTCTCAAGCCGCTCCTCGACAACAGGGAAGACTTTGGGGCCGGGGCTTAGGATCTCCCCTCCAAAACCCTGGGAAAGTCCAACAGCGAAATAAGAGAGAGACAGAGAGAGAGAGAGAGAGAAAGAAAGAAAGAGAGAGAGAGAGAGAGAGAAAGAAAGAGAGAGAGAGAGAGAGAGAGAAAGAAAGTGAGAGCAAGAGGCATAGTCGGTCAGAGAGGAATCAAATAAACTAGCGAGAGAAAGAGTGTAAGAGGGATGATCTGTATAAGCAAGACAGGGCTTCAGGCATCCTTCCATTTCAGCTCAGGCGGCACCACCCCAATTGCCCCGCACAACATGCAGCAAGCACCATCTAAAGCATTCGAGCGACGGGTGTTTGTGCTTCACTGCCTCCTGCACTCGGAGATGTTCTGATCCTCTCTCGAGGCCCTGAAAGATTCTTCAAGGTTTAAGTTCAAGGTTTTGGAACCAATGGCCATATCGTAAAGAAGCCCCTCGTATTCTTCAATCCTTATCTGAGGGACTGTATACAACAGATTGAAATCAACAACAGGTAACCGGGACTTCGTCGCTTCGGGCTCTAAGCGATTCCTCTGTAGCAGCCCACCTAAAACCAATAGACCCAAAGTTGAGGATGGGAATGTATTTAGATTCACTGTAGATGCACCCTCCTTATTACCTTACAAACTCGACAACAGTCCTATTTTAGGGCCCCCTTGAAGACCGGAGGTGGTTAATCATTTGTCTACCTGCATGGAGTCGCTGGGTCCTTCTGAGACTGTCGGTAGCGTTCATGCCGCTCTTTCTCCTGTTCGCACGTTGCGTGTGAAGTCTTTCGGGGCTGCAGCTGAGTTCATGAGCTGTAGCTTTAACTCGGACCGTATGACAGCGTTGTTTCATCTTACCTTGTCTTCATGCGCCATATTGTGCCAGATTGGTTTGTACTTGTGAGCTTGGGGCTTTGGGTTTGGGGTCTCGGCTTGAAAGACTTGTTGAAATACAGGTTTGGTGATGGTTCGTACTCGGTCAACTGTCTGTCGTGTTGGAGAAGAGACTAACTCTATTTACTGGGCTCTTGTTGAGGACCCGGGTTCATATCACCACAGTAGGGATCTATGACAAGACAAGTTGTCCTCACTCTGGTAACTTAAACAAGAGCTCATTTTATCATAAGGTTTGGGCCTTCCAATCGCTTACAAGGGCTTCAAGGTCAAGGTTCAGTTGTTGTTTAAGCAAAGGGCTTCAGCAAATGGTTTGGGGACGAATAAAGGGTTCTGTTAGGAGCGAAAGAACGCGACGAATCGAAAGGTCCACCCGCAAAGATTTTCTCGCGTGGAGGAGCTGTCTGTACATATGTAAACAGATCTTTTCATAACGGCTATTTTCTTAATTAGGGCCTAATCCAAAGCTGGTCCGAGGTCAACTACGATGGTTTCACGATGTTGGCCTAAAAAGATAGGGCTCCGGACCACTCCCTGATGACAGAAGGCGCCCCCACCCTGTAATAGTGGTATAACAGGAGTATAATAGGGCCCTAATATAATCCGTATAGTCACTATTACAGGGGTGGGGGCCCCTTCTAACCCTGATGACAGAAGCTCAAACCGAAACTCTCAGGCCTCGCAAGCCGAAACCCTGAAGAACCAGTCGAATCCGGTCCTTCTGCTTCTCGTCCTCCTTTCTCTTCTCCTCTTCTGCCTGAGCAGTTCAACTGGGAATCCCTGCAACAAATAGCACAGAATGATGATGACAGCAATAAGATTGTCAGAATACGTTGGTAGTAAAGCCTTTTTTCAAAGATAATAACGAGAGTCATAAGCACCACAAGCCCCTCCCAATGAAAGTGTCAGTTTCGGGTTTTGTGTGGTCGTCACTAAAGTCACTAGTAATCGATTCCTTTGGTCCTTTAGCTGTTGCGGAAGCCCGATCTTTGACGCCTACAGCTTTGTTTGAGGCTCAGGCGGGTTTAACGGTTCCAAAGTGTGGGAGTAAACGGAACTACTGCGTGGAATCACATCCACAACATTCACAAGGATTCTCGAACTATCAAGATGCCTTAAATAAGTCTGAGCTTGCTGCAGCCACACGAACCTAAGCATGAATTTTCCGCCCCGGTTTCAAGCGGCCAGCAACCGATCTTCTTAGGCCGTTCTCAGTCCACCGTATTGCACCCAGAGACTCCAATACCCCTTAATTTGAGGAATATTCCTTAAATTATAGTAGGAATCCTACTATAATTTAAGGTATATTCCTTAATTAAGGGGTATTGGAGTCATTTAAGGATTATTCCTTAAAATATAGTAGGAATCCAACTATAATTTAAGGTATATTCCTTAATTAAGGGGTATTGGAGTTCTCTGGGCAATCACCCCGCCCTGCCAGAACGAAGCTTCCAAAAACAAACAAGCAAAACAGCACAGCAGGCCCAAACACCCAAGCCAAGTCTTGAATGGCTTCTAGTAGCACTCGTACTGATGCGATGAGCTGCCAATAACTCCTTACTTACCAGCATTCTTACATCACTGATGGATCTGACAACATGCTGCGTAGTTTGGTCGTCTCGTTCTTCGAACGGTGGGCGGCCTCAGTTGGTCGCCATCTGTGTTGGTGCGGCTGTCATCATCTGGTGCTACTCCGGTTTGTGTTATCACTGCTGAAGTTGCAGACTATGGTAGCCGAAGTGATGGCAATGCTGCTGATGATGATGATGGTGATGAAAACGATGAACATGAAATGACATGATAGCGGTACTCATGTGGGTGAACACGAAAATGCTTGAAACTAATACATCCGAATATTCACGACAGTAGTAGCCTCTGCATGTAATCTAACAGTGTAATTGCGGCAATGATGCCTGCTATTGCCACGTCCACACAGGACGGCAAGAGATGCAGCGACGTCCTGTTATCAGCATCGCACGCGTCTGTCCGGTCTGCAGCACGAACCGTGCCGATGCCAGTGGCCCCGCGTCAAGAGCACGTCGTGGTTTTCGTGGGTGCGGCCAGACGGTCGCGCGGGCGGGTTCGCCTCCATTGCCATAGGTTCGGGTGCTGCCGCTAGAGCCTGCCCGACACAATGCAGCTGCCTGCACGGCTCTGGTTTGTATGCTTTCGCGGCTCGTTGAGCCTCGCATGATACCTATTCCTGCCATTGGCTCGGCAGAGGGACGGACGAAACTAGTTACTATGGAATTGGTTACTTTTTGCCTTCTTCCGGACCAAACAGCACAGAGCTAGTTAAGGCCTCCAACATCACACTGCCTTGCCTGTGCTCTGTATCCAAAGCCCCACACACAGTGCAGGAACCCCTGCACATATAGGGCATAGGCTTTCCAGGGAATAGGATTTAGGGTCTGTAAGCTTTCGCGAATATTTTTACAGGGTTTTTAGGGTTTATAGGGTTTAGGGTTAGGCATCCCTAAACTCCGGAGTTTAGAGATTAGGGATGGTTTGGGGTAACACACTAAACCCGAAACCCTAAAACCCTAAATCCCCTTTGCCTAAACGGCCCTAAAACCTAAAACCCTAAAACCTCTCTCTCTCTCTCCCAGGCAACCCTACACCCTAAAACCCGAAACCCTAGATCCCTTTTGCCTAAACCGCCCTAAAACCCTATAACCCTAAACTAAGCACTTACACTCGGCCTGCCACTTCTCGGCTTCCAGCTTCCGCGCCAGACCATCTTGGAGGTCCTGTGCTTGTCGTGGGATCTCTCTCGTCCCCGAGAGACTCCCTTTAAAGGGATCTCCAGGCCCCTAAGGGATCTATAGGAGTTCCTTTGAGGGCTCCTTTAAGGGATCTATAGGGTTTCCTTTAAGGGTTCCCTTAAGGGATCTATAGGGTTTCTCTATAGCAGCGCCAGGCAGCGCGTGAGGCAAAGCCTTCAGGCCTCAGGCCCCTCACGAAAACGAGAACGCAAGCCGCCCCTCAAGCAGCAAGCAATGCCGACATATGCCAGGCACGCACCTCTGCCTTGACTTTCGCGGCCCACTCACAACTCAAACAAGAAACCTCAACCACCACTCCAGCCTCACGAAGCAGCTTGAATGGCAGTGCGAGCATCCTCTCCCCGAGTGTTTCTCCACTGCTCCGGTCGCTTTCAAGGCGCATGACAGCAATGCCAGCGACGCAAGACATGCCATTGGAACAGTCGCACTCGCAGATCAAGTTTCTTGGCACTTGCAGCACGCCATGCCGCGTGCAAAAGCTAGCTCGGGCCGCTCTTCAATGAGTGAGCCACGCCGCCCCCTTTTGACAAATGGCTTGTCGGAAACCCTAACTCAAACATATACCCTTGCAGGCGTATGTTTTCCGGTGGAGACTACTCTACGTTTTCCTAAGTGATGCTGGCCTGTGCTGTTCCTGAAGACCGAAATAGGCAGGATGTTGGTAGAAGTAAACGATCGTGTAGCGGTCCTGACCGAAAGTCTTACCGATGTACTATACGGGCCTAAATGATTACCAATACTATTCTGGGGTTTCTTGTTATAATTATAGTATGATGGGCCCCGAAACCCTATGGAAATTATTAAGGCCCCTCTGGAAGTGAATCTTACCATCAAAGCCCACATCATAAAAGCCCTGGGCCGCTTCGATGAGGAGGGCATCCTCAACGAACTCCCCATGAAACCAAACGGAGTCGATCTTCACAGGCTTAAGCCCCGGTTCAGGGCTTTAGGGTAACCACCAAGCCCTTCATGGTTTCTGCCGGAATCTCATGGACCGTATGCTTGACTCCCATCCTCACCGTAGCCTTCGCGGTTTTCCATCAAGCAACAAGACCGGTCAACCTTCTCAACGACTTCATAGGCGAGGCCGGCGGGCCATCAGCAGCACCGAAACACTCGAACATGAGCTTCAGCTCGGCGACAAACGATCGATACGACGGCGCATTAGCTCGACAAAGTAGCTGTTGCAATTGCCATCTTCACCGTCGACGATACAGCCGTTGAAGGTAAAGCCGATCTCACTGGCCTTCTTCTGGATTAGGTCCTTGCTTTTCTCGTTCCAGTCCATTGAAAACCTGATCCACTCGCATGGCTCCAACTCCTGGAGCGGCATGCATCCCGCACGGGGGGCGAGAGGCATGCCACGGCGAATCAACACCAGACTAGGTACATCAACGAGCGCAAGTGGACACCGAAAGGCCCCTCGGACGAGTCGTGAGATGTTTGATTATATACACACCCCACTTTAAGTAATTAAGGGTGTACCGTTAGGGTTTAGGGTGTTAGTATACCGGGAATACTTAACCCCTATAAAGCTGAAAAGCACCCTGCTTTGAAGGTAAACTAAAGACCGGCTCCCTAAGCCCGAAAGCTCTGAACCCCAGATCCGGCAGCCAAGGAACCGAACCTAATACAAAAGGAGCCTTAACAATTATACAGGGTTTTGGGGCTCATTATAACATAATTATAATAAGGAAGCCATCCAAAAATAGTATAGGTAATTATTTAGGCCCCTATACGACATTCTCAGGGAGAGAGCATGATTTCCTTTGCTGTTGGCTGTTGTAGCACTCAAAATGGGGCTTAGGGTTTCGATTTCAGCCTCAGAGCGACGGGGCTAAGAACCAGTGGAAGGCTTGTGTCGAACATCTTCGGGCGCTGTCCTTCTTGAGTCGCTCTTGACGGGCATGCCTCTTCTTCTGCCGCTTCTCGAGCTCCTGAACATGTTGTAAGACTGGACGGCTGGGCTTGGGGGTTGTAGTTGGGCTTATGGCTATTCGGAGCGCAAGCGCTGCAACTTTCAGGTTATCCTAGGAGGTTACGGTGTTTCTGGAAGTGCTTTGCCCAGGGAACCACGTGCGATCTGTAAGAGTAAGAAGGGCTTGCGGCTCGCCTTCTATCCTTAAGGGACCCATGAAGCAAAACACCCTGGCCTGGGCATACTACCCTAAACCCTAAACCCTAAACCCTAAACCCTAAACCACTAGGCCATAGAATGCTTTACCGGTATTCTAACGGAATCGTCTTGCACATGCTTAGAGTTCATCCACCCCGAAACTCCGAAGAGATCCCCAAGTCTTACACACGGCATCACTATAGTCACTATGGTCTTTGGGTCTCGATGTCTGCAAAACATGTGCCCTTGGAGCTTTTGTGGACGGGTTTGGGAAGACTTGTCATTCAGAAGCCCAAACCAAACAAAATCTCGGACTCGCCTTCTGGTTGGCGGTTTCGTCATCCAGAGCTATCTCCAAGGCCTCCCCGAAGATGCTCAGCGAAATTTTGCAGTTTCGTTTATCGCTGAGTCTATGTCGGATGCTGACAGAGTGCTGCGGGCCCGGGGCGTTCCGTGTGAATTGTGTTCCGATTATGGTATCTGCTCCTCTCTTCGGAGAATGGGTTGTGAGTTGAGGGTCTGACCGGCTTGCTTTTGTAGGGCTCCTACAGTCTTTCTGAATAAGTACCTCACAGTGCCATGATGGAAATGGACCTGCTGCCCAAACCGCCACCTCGAGACCCTGAAACCTGAAACCGCTTGTAAGACCTTTCAAGCCTTAGCCCTCGTACGAACCCGCAAAAGGGAGGACCCCTGCAAGGACCTGCTATAGGGTTCCTTTAAGGGAACCCTCAATGGAAGAATTGCAGACCCCCGCCTGGATGCGCTCGGCCAGCCTCCGCTCCTGTCAAAGAGTTTGCAATAAACTGCTTTTCCCCCCCTTCAGTTTGAGGTAAAGTACTCCTTGCTATGATTTCCATTTGCATGTGTAAATGATGCATAAACAACTGTAATATATGTGCAGGAATAGGCAGGTTTTTGGTGGCTCTAGGGATGCGGTCGGTCAAAATCTGGGGCTTAGGATGTTGTGTTTGAGGCTACCAGCACAAGGGTTCAAGCATCCTGATCCCGTCCCAGATGCAACGTCGCCTTTCGGCAGCAGTTCTTCTGCCCGTGGGGACGGGATTAGCCCCTGTGCCCCCATGATTAAATCGCTCCGCATGGGGCCCAGTAGCTGTTGGATATGGACAGGGTTCTATGACCGGAGTTCCTTTCAGTGGAGGGCTGGCAGTACTTCGTCAAGCTACGGTCGACACTCTCTGAGGCACGTCCCAATCTGAAGCCCGAAGTACACCAAATCCCAACGAGTGAAGACAAAAAGCCGAAGTCACGAAACCCCATGCCCACACTCAAGGACATGGCAGCTCAAACTTTTGGAATGCTACAAACCTGATTGATATTTCTCTCAGGGGACAAAATCAAAGCTGCCAGTTTCATCTGTATCACGGTCCTCTGATTAGCATTCTATCTCGCGTACGAGATCCGAAAAACCAAAGCACTAAGTCACTAAGCGGCCAATTGCAAAGGTTCGCAATGCCTATAGTCTCCATTGTAGTTCCTTTTGGGGTTACCTTATAGGATCCTTAATATATAACTGGCTAAACCAAAAAAAGGAACTACAATGCAGACTACATGCAGTGTCTGCAGGGCCTACAACGGAGAAACGACAACTGAAGCCCGAGCCTGGTATTCCTCCAGTTGGACCTGCGGCAAACAAGCAAGATCTCGAGGGTTGAAACCTACTACAAGGGGAGTACCTAGAGGGTCGTTTGTTCGACCCCTATTTTCGGAGATCTAGCTCTTTAGTTAGGATCTGCTATATGGGCAAGTAGGTACCCTAAAACGGGGTGGGGTATGAGCCATTCTTCGGAGAGGTGAGGTTAGCACAGGTAATGGTACGAATCATGATACATACAAGCCTCAATATTTTGACCTTCAAATCCTGTAGGCCTCTATGCATTGGTGCCTCCTACCAGGGATATACTGGGGATTCCAGCCTGAAGCCCTTAAACCCTAAACTCCCAAACCGTGCAAAGCAAACCTCGGATTGGGTTGTTGTTGTAGTGATTGTAGTGCTCCTTTCCCAAACAATGAATGGGTACCTTGGTTTCAGGCTGGATATTCAACGGGCATTCGAAATTACAGCTTGGGGTAACTGTCATAAAATGGGCCATGATAAGCACAATGAGCGGAGTGAAATTACATCATGGCCATATGGCGACAATAAGAAGATACTGCGCCAAATGTTTCGACCCCCAACTGTAAATTCGCAACCCTTTTTCAGCACGAGACTTGGTTGTATGCCGGCAAGCTGGGCTCTCAAGGTCTTCATGAGATATGAACTATGTTCTTACAGACCCTAAACCCTAAACCCCTAAACAAACCCTAAACCGGGGCCCCGGACCTCTCGCTCGAGCTTCCGCCGCGCCTGCTGCGCCGCCCGAAACCGAGCCTCGACCAGCTTCGCTGGGAGCTGAGGGTTTCGGGCTTTGTTCCCTTAGGGATTCAAGTTTCAGGTTTTGGGTTTAGGGCTTTTTGCCCTCTCGCAGGGCTTGGAAGGTTTAGGGTTTAGGGTTTCAGGTTTACCGCTTCGGGTCTGCGAAGGGGTCCAAAAGAGATATCAGTATCAGAAGGGAATTACCCGGTTTAAAACCCTTAATGATTCGAACAGGGTTTTGGGGTATATTGCACTGTTCTTGTAGTAGGAACCCTAAGGAACAGTCTTGGGATTTCGGGTGCAGGTCTCGTCATTTAAACCTTCGACACCCGGTTTAGGGTTTAAGGTTTAAGGTATTTAGGGTTAGGAACCTAGAACAACCCTTTCTGAAAGCAAAACTAACAGACTCCTGCGGCTCTTGGTAAATCCCTCCTGCCGTGTCTCATGAGGCCTCATCTCTTCACTCTTTACATGCACGCCCGCTTCTCCCGTAGAATCCTACAAGAGCAACAGAACAACGACCAACACCCCCCCCCCGAGTGTGGCTTAAACCGGGTCTATTTGGCAGCTGGATGTGTGTGTATTGGCAGGACTCCACGCGCCAGCTGCCAAATAGACCCCATGTGGTGTTCCAGCGCGCCTGGACCCCGGGAATTAAATAATTTAAATCCGGGGGCCTCCCCCGTATTTAAATTATTTAATTGGGGCCAGGAATTAAATAATTTAAATAATTTAAATAATTTAAATCCTGGGGGAGGGGGGTCCGGGGAGGGGCGGGGCCATGAATTAAATAATTTAAATAATTTAAATCCGGGGGAATCTGCCGGGGCCGGGAATTAAATAATTTAAATAATTTAAATAACTTAAATCCTGGGGGAGGGGGGTCTGGGGGAGGGGCGGGGCCGGGAATTAAATAATTTAAATAATTTAAATACGGGGGCCTCGCCCGTATTTAAATTATTTAATTCCCGCGGGGGGGTCCGGACCCGCCCGCCCCGGACCCCCTCCCTCAGGATTTAAATTATTTAAATTATTTAAATTATTTAAATTATTTAAATTATTTAATTGGGGCCGGGAATTAAATAATTTAAATAATTTAAATCCGGAGGCCTCGCCCGTATTTAAATTATTTAATTGGGGCCGGGAATTAAATAATTTAAATAATTTAAATCCGGGGGCCTCCCCCGTATTTAAATTATTTAATTGGGGCCGGGAATTAAATAATTTAAATAATTTAAATAATTTAAATAATTTAAATAATTTAAATCCTGGGGGAGGGGGGTCTGGGGGAGGGGCGGGGCCGGGAATTAAATAATTTAAATAATTTAAATCCGGGGGCCTCGCCCGTATTTAAATTATTTAATTCCCGCGGGGGGGTCCGGACCCGCCCGCCCCGGACCCCCTCCCTCAGGATTTAAATTATTTAAATTATTTAAATTATTTAAATTATTTAAATTATTTAATTGGGGCCGGGAATTAAATAATTTAAATAATTTAAATCCGGAGGCCTCGCCCGTATTTAAATTATTTAATTGGGGCCGGGAATTAAATAATTTAAATAATTTAAATCCGGGGGCCTCCCCCGTATTTAAATTATTTAATTGGGGCCGGGAATTAAATAATTTAAATAATTTAAATAATTTAAATAATTTAAATCCTGGGGGAGGGGGGTCTGGGGGAGGGGCGGGGCCGGGAATTAAATAATTTAAATAATTTAAATCCGGGGGCCTCGCCCGTATTTAAATTATTTAATTCCCGCGGGGGGGTCCGGACCCGCCCGCCCCGGACCCCCTCCCTCAGGATTTAAATTATTTAAATTATTTAAATTATTTAAATTATTTAATTGGGGCCGGGAATTAAATAATTTAAATAATTTAAATCCGGAGGCCTCGCCCGTATTTAAATTATTTAATTGGGGCCGGGAATTAAATAATTTAAATAATTTCAATCCGGGGGCCTCCCCCGTATTTAAATTATTTAATTGGGGCCGGGAATTAAATAATTTAAATAATTTAAATAATTTAAATAATTTAAAATCCTGGGGGAGGGGGGTCTGGGGGAGGGGCGGGGCCGGGAATTAAATAATTTAAATAATTTAAATCCGGGGGCCTCGCCCGTATTTAAATTATTTAATTCCCGCGGGGGGGTCCGGACCCGCCCGCCCCGGACCCCCTCCCTCAGGATTTAAATTATTTAAATTATTTAAATTATTTAAATTATTTAAATTATTTAATTGGGGCCGGGAATTAAATAATTTAAATAATTTAAATCCGGAGGCCTCGCCCGTATTTAAATTATTTAATTGGGGCCGGGAATTAAATAATTTAAATAATTTAAATCCGGGGGCCTCCCCCGTATTTAAATTATTTAATTGGGGCCGGGAATTAAATAATTTAAATAATTTAAATAATTTAAATAATTTAAATCCTGGGGGAGGGGGGTCTGGGGGAGGGGCGGGGCCGGGAATTAAATAATTTAAATAATTTAAATCCGGGGGCCTCGCCCGTATTTAAATTATTTAATTCCCGCGGGGGGGTCCGGACCCGCCCGCCCCACCCCCTCCCTCAGGATTTAAATTGTTTAAATTATGTAAATTATTTAAACTATTTAAATTATTTAAATTATTTAATTGGGGCCGGGAATTAAACCCTCCCACCACCCTCTCACCCACCACTTCAAGGGCTAGGGATCCCACACATCTGCGGGCAAAATCTGGCGGAAGTGATCCGCCACCGAGCAAAAAGCCTGTAAATACCGCATTCAACAAAGGGCCAGGGATTTCACACATCTGTTGGCAAAATCTGGCGGAAGTGAGCAGTCGGTACCTCCGCCAGATTTTGCCAACAGATGTGTGAAATCCCTGGCCCTTTGTTTAATGCGGTATTTACAGGCTTTTTGCTCGGTGGCGGATCACTTCCGCCAGATTTTGCCCGCAGATGTGTGAGATCCCTGGCCGTTGTTTTAACGCGGTATTTACAGGCGTTCTGCTCGGTCGCGGCTCGCAGGGATGAGGGGGACACCCCTTGCGCTCTGTGGTTTTCTGATCTGAGTTTTCACAAGACCTTAGGGGGACACCACTTGCGATCTATGATTTTGGGATCTGAGTTCTTACACAACCTTCCCTCCACCTCCTGCCCACGCTACCTCCCAGACACCCTCCCACCACCCTCTCACCCACCACTTCAAGGGCTAGGGATCCCACACATCTGCGGGCAAAATCTGGCGGAAGTGATCCGCCACCGAGCAAAAAGCCCGTAAATACCGCATTAAACAAAGGGCCAGGGATTTCGCACATCTGTTGGCAAAATCTGGCGGAAGTACCGACTGCTCACTTCCGCCAGATTTTGCCAACAGATGTGTGAAATCCCTGGCCCTTTGTTGAATGCGGTATTTACAAGCTTTTTGCTCGGTGGCGGATCACTTCCGCCAGATTTTGCGCGAGATGTGTGGGGTCCCTGGCCGTTGTTTTTAACGCGGTATTTACAGGCTTTCTGCTCGGTCGCGGCTCGCAGGGATTAGGAGGACACCCCTTGCGATTTGTGATTTTGGAACTTATTTGTTATAACAACCTTTAGGGGGACACCACTTGCGATCTGTGGTTTTCGGTTCTGAGTTTTCACAAAACCTTGGGGAGACACCCCTTGCGATCTGTGATTTCGGGATCTGAGTTCTTACAAAACCTTGGGGGGGACACCGCTTGCGATTTGTGGTGTTGGAATTCTTTTGTTATAAAAAGCTTTAGGGAGACACCCCTTGCGATTTATTGTTTTGGAACTTGTTGTTTCAACGAACCCTTAGGGGGACACCCCTTGCGATCTGGGTTTTTGGGATCTGAGTCTGTACAAATCTTGGGGCGACACCCTTGTGATCTGTGATTTTCTCTGTGTTTTTTGCAGAACTTCAAGGAAAAAAAATCTTGCCGACGCAGGGGTAGATGGAGCTCTCTTGTCTTTCGTGAAGTTGAAGGGGCCTGTCTGCTGTGCTGAGATGGACCTCTCTC